AGGGAAGAAAGGTCTACCAGAGCAGCTGGGATTAGACTCCACTTTCTCGCTATTGCTAAACTTCAAGCATAGAACACTTCTGGATTTCGTGTATTGTAAATATTTTGGAGCCTGAGCTCATTTCCTGTGCCCTAGCCTATTATCCCTTGAGGTGGAACAGGGAGTTACATGGTCAAAGGTGTCTGAACCCTGTGGTGGTTTCCTTGGGCGGTTTACTTCTTGCAAGCAACTTGAAATACCCCTCAGGAGAGGTTTGGATGGCAGGGAAGGTGCTATTATTAGAACTAAAAAACTCTGGCATGCTTTCAAAGCGTTGCAATGCTGAACAATTGATTCTGCCTCCTTCCCAGTGACTACGACCCAAGGATTGACAGTAACAACAAAGGAAACCGAATGTTGCAGTCCACAGGGTGGAAAAAAGGCTTCGGTCACAACCAGCAGGGTACAGCATCACCAGTGGAGGTGAGTCTTACCTTCCCCTCAGAACAAATCGCTGTTCTTCAAGCTGGTGACATCTCCTAAGAGAGCTGGAGGCAGTTTTGAGCTGCAGCAAGAGTCAGGATGTGAGACTCAGCACCCACTGAACAGTCATGTGTGCACTGAGTGATTTTGCAGGCTGGGAGGGGCCACAAGTGCATTGGCAGAAGAAAGGGATTAGAGTTCATGTGCATCTGTAGGGGTGGAAAACAGCAACAGTGGGTAAGGAGGCTGTGAGCTTCTAATTAATACCTGCCCAAAGCCAGGCTGGGGTTCAAATAGACCACCAGCTCAGTGCTGTGCAGCCACGTAACTCAAATGCAGTCACACTGACATAGATGGGTACAAAGGACCGATGGCTGCTGAGGCTGCTGTTCTGCAGAAATCTACCTCGTGGGCAGCACGGGCTGCTCAGGCACAGCAGGAGCAAAGAGCCTGGGGCAGGGACTGCTTTGCTTGCCTGCTTTGGGGCAGGTGAGCAGCACCAAACCCCTGCAGCTGCAGCCGTGCCACAGCGTGTTTGTCCTCTGAATGCCCTGCTGCGTGGTGTCAGTGCTCACTGAGGGGCAGAGCGACTTGCAGAGCAGCTCGCCTCGTGACAGTCAGTTTGCAGCCAATTGTATCATTAAAAACAAATATTTGAGGCTTTGTGGCGTGTATTTGCTTGAGCCCACGCGCACAAGGAAGGCTTTCCTCTTCACATCACAGGGACGGGCCCCAGCTGTTGCTCGGTCCTCCCAGAGAGCTTCCTGTGGCCATAAAATGGGCTCAGTTGGAGAGCTGGCTTCGGGGATGCGCTCTGGGAGGTCTGACCTGCAGTTGGGGCTCCCTGGCCTGGCTGGGAGAGCTGCTGCAAGGCACAGCCCTCGTGCAGCTCCTACAGGCACCTCCCAGAGAGATGTGCTTTCTTCCCTCTTCCAAATCCTGCTGGACAAAGCCGTGTGCCCGCTTCAAGCCCACCACACTTTGATCTCCCTGCCTAATTGATCACAGCTCTGGTATCGAGAGAAGTCAGACTTAAAAGCAAGGGAAACTTTCAGTCTCGGGCCGGATCTCCTGGGCTGACTCTTGGCAGGTATTACTGAATAATTCAGACACTGGCTGCCCAAGCTAGTCGTTAAACATTGGTTGACTTTCAAAGTGAGCTACTAGATTCCATGGGAACGCTGTTAGAAGAGAGAGCTGCTGAGCTTGTGCAAGTACAAGGTAACTGCAGACAGCTCCCTGGGATCCCAGCTCTCCTGCTGTTGCTTTCTTTTGCTCTGTTTTGATTCCTGCTTGCATGTGTCTGCCTCCTGCCTGCTGGCACTGCTTTGGCTGCCCACTCCAACCCAACGTGCAGGTGCTGATCTCCACAGCCAGTCCCTGCGGTTTGGTTCCCACAGGGCATCTCCTGCCTCTGTTTTTTGTTGCTGCTAAGGCCTACAGCTTTTAGAGGAGCACAGCTTTTCCTCTTCTCACCCATCCACGTGGGAGCAGTTGGCCATCCTGAAGCAGCCCAGGGAAACCTGTTTCTCTGTGGGCAGTGGGTGACGGTCAGAAATCACTAAGATGTGTTGTGGTTGGGGTTTGTTTCAGGCGGAAAATCGGAAGAGGGGAGCTGGGCTGGGGGCCCAGGGGAGGCCCAACAGGAGGCAGTCCAACGAGACCTACCGTGATGCTGTCAGGAGAGTGATGTTTGCCCGCTATAAGGAACTTGAGTAAATGGTGGACAGAACCCCAAGGCCGTCTCCCATCTCTGTCTCTTTCTCTGTGTAATGTTCTCTCGGGGGTTGGTTTTTGTTTCTTTTTTCTTTTCTTTTTGTTGTTCGTTTGTTTTTGAATTGTTACAGGTTTTGCTGCTAGATTTTTTTTAATAAAACTGAAAATTTGTCAGTGCCTGTCTCTTGCCTGAAATGTGTTGCTTTGGAGGATTGCCATCGTGTTCAGCTGCCTGCTGGTGAGGGCCTGGAGCTTACATCCGTGGCTGGGCTGTGTGCTCCTGGTTCTGTGCACTTTGTGGGGACAGGGAGCAGAGGACAGCCCCAAGACCAGGTAGGGAACGGGGAGCGACCTGTTTGGGATTCACCTTTAGCAAGGAAGCCGTTCTGAGCAAGTGCTGAGCACACAGAGGCAGCTCCTGGGACAGGGATGTGTGCAGAGCGGTTTGGCTGAAGCTGATGGAAGTGAGCTATGTGTGTGTGAGCTCAGCTGGGACAGCAGTGCTGGGGCTGAGTGTGGCCTGGGCAGACTGGTGCGTGCTGGTGGGCAGCATGGAGCAGACTTTGAGCCCAGCCCTCAGCAGGTGGTGATGGAGCTGCCCTGGCTTGCACACATCTGCTGCTCACCCACCAGAGGCGTGGGGAAGCTGAAGACAGCAAGACTGGGAGGTGAAGGACCACCTGCAGCAGCACACAACTTCTGAGGAGAACAGAAGACCTGTCGAGGCTGCATTTCTCTACCTCTGGCACAGGTAACCCTGGAGCACTGCTGCTACATCAGTGCTGCACCCAGCAATGGAGGATGCAGGGGAACCTGCGGTGCTGGGGAGTCCATGTAGTGAGACGTGCATCCAGGGCAAGGAGCATCCTTCATAAAGGATTGGTAGGCAGCCCTCTGCTGCTGGAAACCCACTCTGTGCCCTGTCCTGGGGCTCTGGAGCAAAGCCAGGGAGAGGAGCTGCTCAAGGAGTTTGCTTTAGAGGACTGTGTTCAGGTGGAGGAAGAGCCACCTTAACACTCGTGTCTTACAATAAAAGCCCTCAACCAGCAGCTGGGGAACAGTTTGTTTTGGTCCACAGCCTGGGAGCTCTGTGAGAGTGGGAATAGAGAGGGAGGATCCCAAACGAGAGCCTGAACAAGTGCTGCCAAACCACAGAGCCCCGCGTGCTCCTCCCCTTCATCTCCAAACCCGGAGGAGAACCGGGCAAAACATGTGGGCTCCCTCGAGTGTCTGCAGGAAGGGTTGCAGAAACACAGGGCTGCCGTGCAGTGCACACAGCCAGCACTGCAGAGCACTCATGCTGTTAGGGATACAGGATGCAGGGCAGTGCTGTGACCTGTTAGGGATAACGGCATGGCGGTGGTGTAGAAACCCAAACCAAACCTGGGGGGGTGCTTTTGCTGTCCTCAATGTTTTCGATACCATTGACAGGATATTTATTTAAAGACCATTCACCTGAAGCCACAGCTGTATTGCAATTACCTTCATCCCTTTTTAATTGCTTTTCTCCTATTTCCAAGAGTATTTCCAGTGGTAGTGGTTCTGCTGCCACTGCTGCGTGTCACAGTGCAGCAGCAGGAGGCTGATCCACATGTCCTGCACAGTGAGAGCTGCTGCTCCCAAAGAAGAGCTGTAGATGGCCTTTGATTTTCGATACTGACTCATTGAACAGTGCTTTAGGACCCTCTGCGCTGTGGAGCTGGAGCTGTACTGCCCGTGTTCTGCTGCACAGCTGGAAGCTCAAACCCTTTGCACCCCATCCTTGTGTCTGTTGCAGGACGGGGCCTCAGCCCTTCAACAAGAGCAATTCCCTTCCATGTATCCACGTTCTGTGAGGTCATCGATGGGGTTTGAGCTGCTGCAGACCCCAGGGTTGGCCGGAATGAAGCTGAGAGCCACACTGCAGCCATGCAGAAGTTCTGAGTCTGGCCATCTCCCTTTCCTTCGTGGGAGGATTTCCAGCTGCTCGATGCACCTCGGCATCCTGTCTGCAAGGAAGAGGGGAAATGAGAGCACTGCACCCCCAGGGGATGGAGCCCTGCGGCCGCACAATGGAAGGATGGGCTGCTCCCAAATGGAGCTGCTCCCAAATGGAGCTGGGGAAGGCTGGGAGCTGCCTCGTCTCCACCTCACCGGAGCTGCCAGGGTGGAAAACCCGGCAGTGGGGCACCCACGGGCCCGACATTCCCTGTACTGCGTTATTCCCCCTGGCATCGCGTTGGGTGGATGAGGGGAGGGGAGGAGAGGAGCAGCCCGGCTGCGGGAGGTTCGTGGTCCCAGCGGTGTGAGAAGCGAGGGCCGCCCCGGAGGGGCTCAGAGGCGGGGGCAGCAGCGGGGGCAGCGGCCACCCTGGCGTCACGGCCACCCCCTGTGCTGCGGATCCGAGCAGAGCGCGGGCGCTCCTTTGCCAGCCCAGCCAGAGCAAATCCATCCAGGCGCGTGGTGAGCACGCCGCGCTCGGACGGCGCCCTTTTGGCACGGTGCAGACACGGGGATCCCGGAGCTGCCCGCATTCCTCGGGATCAACCCGGCCGGGGAAAGTCTTCCCTGCCCAACCCCGCAGACGCAGCTGGCACAGCCGCTCTCCCGGCTCCGACGCTCGTATCACGGCTCCGACGTGCGGACCGCTTCCGTCAGCCGCTCCCGACGGGTTCCTGCGCTGTCCCTGCACTCCGTGGAGCTGCTGGAGCGTTTCGGAGCCCCGCACCGCTAGGTGGCAACAGCTGCCCGCACCGCGGGGCTGAGCGGGACGGACGGACGGAATGGGCGCAGCCCCCGGCCCCTCCCAGAGCCCCAGGTGCTGCCATCGGCGGACGGCGGCTCCGCGGCTCCCGGGTGAGTAACGGAACGATGCGGGAATCGTCCTGAGCCGGGCGGCCCGGGGGGAGCGCCGTGCCCCGGAGCCGGAGCCGCAGAGCTCTGTTGGGTGCGGGACGGTCCCGCTCCGGGTCGGGCTGCGTGCGCTTTGTGCCTTCGAGCGCCGTGGCTCTGAGTGAGCTTCGTGCCGTCGGGGTCGGGGTTGGTGCGGCGGGGCAAGGCACTGCGGTGGTTGGTGTGCTTAGGGTGGGGGCGCTGGGATGGCTGGTAGCCCAAAATGGGAGCACTGGGGTGGTTGGTGTTCTGGGACAGGTTGGTGTGATGCTCAGCACACAGCGGTGTGTGTCTTGGTGCGGTGTACGGATTTCTCCTGCAGAGCTGAGAGCATTGAATGTGGCAGAGAAACAAACACCCCGATGGTTTATGAGCCAGAGATAGGGAGGTCAGTCTGAAAGCAGTTTGAAAGCAGCGCTATAGGGAAATATGGGAAGAATTCATCCCTAATCTAATCTCCCCAAATTCCACAAGGATGCGAGGCAGGGCTCCATCGCTCCTTTGGTTCCTTTGGTTGAGAATTAAACAGGAAACCCCAATGATGTGAAATGTTCCCCCAAACCCCAGGCGTGGTTTGAAGCCGTGTGCTGGGCAATGCTCCTGCACAGTGCAGCACTGCAGGGACAGGGGCTGGGAACGAGAGAATTGTGGTTTGTGAGCCATGGGGGGACTCTGCGCAACGTCTTGGCAGCTGAGGGTCTGAGGTGTGGCCTGGGGGTACCTGGGGGCCCCATCTCACCCCGAGAGCCCCGCTCACATTTTAGCCCCCACGCGCTCAGCCAGCTCTGAAAATGGAGGAGGAGGTGCTGTATCAGGTGTCGCCATTTCAGTCAAGGGATGAGGGCTGTGTTCGGCCCACACACTGCACCAGGGTGTGGATGGTGCTGGGAACTTGGCCGTGCCCCTGGAGATCTCCAGGCTGAGGGAACCTCACTCTTTGAGGCCGCTGGCTGTGTGCAAACCATGGTCCCAAGGGCTTGGCATGGCACAGCGCTCTGCTTTCGAGGTCCAGCTCTGTGAACATCCATCCCTTCCAGCGGCCCTGGGTCAGCAGGACAGGGACGACAGCTGCCTCTGCCTGGTGGAGCAGCTGTGAGGCATCCATCAAGCGGCCCCCGGGGGACGGAGGCACGGGCAGGGCGGATGCGTGGGGCCACCCAACGTACAGATGCAGCCGTGGGCACGCGTGGCGCTGGCAGCACACAGTGACATAGGCTGAGCCACGGGGTGGCAAACGCACGGGGACGAGGCATGGCCGCCCCATCACCGCCTGCCCGCACTGCTGCCCGGCTCTGCCGCATCCCGCAGCCCCATCCCCAGCTCTCCCCCAGCTGCCGGCCCCGCTGTAACCCAAGAAGCGCAGCCCGCGGGGCTCTGGATTAGCCGCGAGACAATCGGAGTTTGTGGGGCGGCACGTGGCGGGGGTGGCTGCGGGCTCGCTCAGCCCTCCTCCGTCCCTGGGGACGGAGCTCTGCCGGCGCCCTTCCCCCCGCAGCGTTTGGGCTCCTGCCCCGTTCGTGGCACGGCAAAACGTGCTGCCAGCATCCCTCGCTCGGCGCCTGCCCTCGGCAGCAGCCCCTCTCGCAGGAGTTGATTATTTGAAGCTGTCGGCAGTGTTTAGCTTAACCCTGGATTCATCGCCCGCAGCTGTTTCCATCCGAGGACGCTCCGCCTGCACTGAGCCCCCGGGAGAAGCGTGGTGTCTGTAGGAAGGTGCCACCCCCGGCTGCCACCCGGCCCGGGCTGGGCTCACGCAGGTCGCCACTGGGGCAGAGCGCATCGCAGCGCAGCTTCTCCCTTTCGGGCAGAGGCCACGTGCCCGCAGCGATGGCCCCGTTGGCTGCAGCCCTGCTCTGGGTGCTGCTGCTGCGGCCGCACAGTGCCGGGACGTGGAGAGAGCACAGCCCGCGTCTTCGTGTGGCGTACAGAGGTGAGCGGCTGGAGGTGGGAGCGCAGGGTGGGGGGCACAGGGCTGTGGCATCCCCACACGTGGCTACGTCCCCTGGAGGTCCCCACCGACTTCTGTCCCACCTCCTGCACGCGGTCCCCATCCGAGGTGTTTCCACTCCCGGGGATGTGGTTCCGTGGGGTGGGGGATCCATGGGGCCGCAGCCATGGGCAGAGGCAGCAGAGGAAGCTCCCAGCATCGGGAGGGCTGGGGAACAATGGAACAATGGCACGGGATGTGACTCACAGGACAGCGAGGGGCAGCAGGTTCAAGGACACAGAGGCTCCAGAAGTTTAGGTTTAAAAACCCTAGGAAAAAAAAAATAAATAAAATAAAAGGGCCTTTGAGAGCCTCACGTCGGGGCTCAGCATGGGAGAGAGAGAGCTGGTGAGGGGGGGAAACGTGAGCAGTTTGCAGAAGGAAATGACAGCAGTGATGCCATGGGAGCGCAGGAAGGATGGGCACGGAGAGAGGTGGGTGTGGGTCACACTGGGACAGTTTGTGTCCCTGCAGCAGTGCTGAAGGTGTGGGGCTGCAGAGCGGGGCTTCAACCTTACCAGCGAGGGGATGGAGGTGCAGAGCCCCCCAGGCTGAGGGGCGTGCTGTGGGGCAGGTGGTGACCCCAGGAAGCGGGGTCAGCTCACATCGAGGATGCTGAGGCTCAGGAGATAGATGGGAGGGGGGGAGGAAAAACACCCTGTCCTTGGGAGATAATGGCACAAAGCAGAGGATGTGTCTCACCCATAGCCACAGCCACTGTGCAGTGGAAGCAGGGACAGGAATCCAGCCGCTCACCCCATTCTCTCGGTGGGAAGCACGTGGCAGCCCCTGCCTGGCCCTGTGTGCTACCCTGCACTACCCTGTGCACTTCCCCTGCACTACGTCAGGGCCACTCCGCTCGCTTCCTCCCAGCTGCTGCGGACACGCCGGTGCCCACGTCCCATGCACTTAACACTGCAGTGTGCACAGCCGGGTCCCCAGCGCCTCGTTCCCACCCGCGTGCTTGGCCTCACGCTGGGGGGGGTCCCCTCAATGCCGCCCTTCCTCCCACCCTGTCCCCTCAGAGCTGCTGAAGTCCAACAGCTCCCGGTGGCTGCTGGCCCCAGGGGACACGCCGGGCTCCCAGGCGCTGCTGCTGGATGAGGACAGGACCTGGCTGATGGTAGGAGCCAAGAACCACATCGTCCTGCTGCACCTGGAGCAGCCGGGCAGGGAGCCTGAGAAGGTCAGCGTGGGGCAGTGGGTGCGTGCCGGGCAGCGCCAGCATCTGGCACCGCGTCCCCATCACAGCCCACGGTTGTGTGGTTGCAGATCTCCTGGCCAGCACCCAGAGCACAGGTAGAGCACTGCCAGCTGGCAGGCAAGGATGTGGAGGTGAGCGGGGCTGGGAAAACCTGCGTGTGGCTTCTGGGCACTGAGAGCTGAGCCCCAGCACCATGAGCGTGCCTGCCACTAACAGCTGTCTCCCCTTGAGCAGACCGAGTGCGCCAACTTCATCCGCTTCCTGCAGCCCTACAACAGCAGCCATGTGCTGGCCTGCGGGACCGGCGCCTATCAGCCCATCTGTGCCTTTGTGCAGCTGGGAGCCCGCGGGCAGGTGGGGACTCCCTGTGGCAGTGCCTGGTGGCAGTGCAGCCCTGCTGCAGACCGACCGCCCCTCTCCCCCCGTTCTCTGCAGGGTCCTGGGATCCCCGTGATGCGGCTGCTGAGCCATTCCCTGCAGTCGGGGCGAGGACGGTGCCCTTACAGCCCCCGGCAGCCCTTTGCTGCACTGCTGGTCGGTAAGAGCGGAGTACCGGGGGCTGTGGGGGTCTGTGGCGAATCCCAGCTGCTCCATGCCCACACTGCCCCACAGATGGGCAGCTGTACTCGGGCACCTCCAGTGATTTCATGGGCAGCAGTGCCGCCTTCTTCCGCACCGAGGTCGGCGGGGCTGAGCGGGGCTACATCCGCACAGAGCAGCACCAGGACCACTGGCTACATGGTACGAGGGCTCTGGGCCTGGCTGGTGGCCCCATGGGGTGCTGTGGGCGTGGGGCAATGCCATGTTGCTGCTCGCAGAGCCCACGTTCATCGGCACCTTCGCCATCCCCGACACCCACAACCCGCATGACGACAAGGTCTACGTCTTCTTCCGTGAGACGGCCCTGGAGGGCGGGCAGTGGGAGCGGCGGCACATCCACGCCAGGGTGGCCCGGGTCTGCAAGGTCAGTGTGAAGCCAGGTGGGCGTTTGGCTTCCCCAGCTGCAGTCCCCATCCCTGCTGTGGGGCTCGATTTGATGGTCACCCGAGGTCTCTCCAGTCCCCAAATCCCCTGTGAGCAGGAGCACGGCCCCCACCTCTGCCAGTGATCTGCTGCAGATCCCTGGGCACCCAGGCAGTGCAGGGACTGGGGCTGGGGCTAGGGCCACGTGCCAGTGCTGGTGCTGGGCTGGGTGGGTGGATGCAGGTGTGCATAGCGCTGTTTGCTCATCAGAACGACGTTGGAGGGAAGCGTGGCCTCATCAACCGCTGGAGCACGTTCCTCAAGGCCCGCCTGCTGTGCTCCATCCCCGGGCCCCAGGGCACGCAGACACACTTTGACCAGTTGGGTGAGTGCCTCCCTCCTGGGGCTGCTGCTATGCTGCACCCAGCGCCCTGCCACTCCTCTCTCTCTTCTCACAGAGGACGTTTTCCTCCTCCAAACGCGAGACCCCCAGAACCCCCTCGTCTTCGGCCTCTTCACAGCATCCAGGTGAGCCCACTCCTGCGCACGGGGCATCCATGAGCCTCCCCAGCCCTCAACCCTGCTACACTGACAGCTGCCCTGCAGTGCTGTGTTCAGCGGCTCCGCCGTCTGCGTCTACTCCATGGCTGCAGTCAGAGCAGCCTTCAGCGGCCCCTTCGCGCACAAGGAGGGCTTCGACCACCGCTGGGTGCAGTACAAGGCCCGCGTCCCCTACCCCCGCCCTGGCACGGTATGGATGCGGGCAGCAGGTGGCATCAGGAGGGTCCATCCGAGCCGTGACACATCCCTCGGTGTTCCCTGCAGTGCCCCAGTGAGACGTACGACCCACTGCTGCGCTCCACCAAGGACTTCCCCGATGAGGTGATCAGCTTTGTGCGCGCCCACCAGCTGATGTGGGAGCCCATCCACCCGCTGGGCCGTCGGCCCGTCCTGCTCCGTGCCAACGTTCCCTACCGGCTGCGGCAGCTGCTGGTGCACCGGCTGGAGGCTGAGGGCCGCCACTACGATGTGCTCTTCCTTGGCACAGGTCGGGGCTCAGCACGGTGCTGGGGATGGGGAATGGAGCCAGGCAAAGGGTGTGTGCACAGCGTCAGACCCCCACCCCACAACACCTTTCTGTGTTGGCAGATGATGGGAAGGTGCTGAAGGTGGGGCTGCCCGGTGAGGCGGGTGCTGAGGCTGTGAGCCTGGAGGAGATCAGCGTCACTGAGGTATGGAGGCACTCACTGGGAACGACTGCCCGGTGTCTAGCAAGGCCTCACTGCCTTCCTTCACCCTCCAGGTGCCTTCACCCATCCTGGACATGAAGCTGTCACCAAAGCGGGTGAGTCCTCATGCTTCTACTCCAAGGGACAGGGCATCTGGCCCCAGCCCTTCACTCCCAGGCCTGCCAAGGCCCTGTCCCACTGACCACTGCGATGTGCCCGAGCAGCAGGAGCTGCTGGTGAGCAGCACACAGGGGCTGCTGCAGCTCTCCCTGTCCCGCTGTGAGCTCTATGGGCAGACCTGCATGGACTGCTGCCTGGCCAGAGACCCCTACTGCACGTGGGATGGCAGTGCCTGCACCTCTCTGCTGCTCACGGAGAAGAGGTGAGCATGCCATGAGGTCACCTCATGTTCCCTGCAAGCCCTGGTCTGGAAAGAGGTGCCAGCACATCCCCATCCACTGTCCCACAGGCGTGCCCGCTGCCAGGACGTGCTGAAGGCCGATGTGCTCAGCCAGTGCCAGGACACAGCAGAGGGTGAGCGCCATTGCTGGGACTGGTGGGCAGCGGGGCACTGCCGGCACCCTCTGCCGTCGGGGAGGGCCGCGCTGGGGCTGACCCCATCCCATTCCCATGTAGGGATGGCGGCCGTGGAGCAGCCGGTGTTTGGTGTGGAGAAGAACTCCACGTTCCTGGAGTGCCAGGCGCGCTCCCCGCAGACAGCAGTGCGGTGGCTGGTGCGGCGTGGAGAGGGGCTGGAGCTAAGTGAGGTATGAGGGCAGCGGGGAGGGGGTGAAGGTGAGGAGGACAGCAGGGCCTGACTGAGCTCGTGCCCAGGTGAGGAGCGGCAGACGCGTGGTGGTGCTGGAGCAGGGGCTGCTGATCCGCCAGCTGGGCTGGGAGGACGCCGGCACCTATGAGTGCCGGGCCGTGGAGCGCTCCTTCTCCTGGCCCCTCACTCGCTACAGCCTGCACGTCATCCGGCACGAGGCCACGGAGCTGCAGCACCGCCGTGGTAAAGGGGCCGAGAGCACGTGGACAGAGCCGCGGGCGCTGGGGGCACCGGGCAGCGGCGGCCTCGATGCCTACTGCACCGCACTGCGGCTCCGGGAGCGGCAGCGGCAGAAGGCCTGGCAGCAGAAGTGGCAGCACCGCGCCCCCGAGGGCAAGAGCGGCCGTGTGCGCCGGCAGCCCTGGAGGCTGTAGGGGCACAGAACCTCTCCAATACGACTACCTCACACCGTGCTGGGACTGTCCGCCTTGGCACAGCTCCTGGACGCAAAGCTTGTGTGCCCTGAGGAGTTGATTCCCATTCTTCCCTGGGCAGTTCTTAGCAGCAGTAAGGAAGACAAGCGGTTGAGAATGGAAAGCAGCCATTCTTGCGTGTGGTTCCCAGCACCTGGTGGCACCTGGACCTGCGGTGGGCGCAGTGCCCACATCCAGCTCCATCCCAGTGGGCTGAGGGGTGCCCGCCTCTCCCATCCCAGCCCTCGTTGCTTTTATGGATTCCAGAGTCAGAGGGACAACAGGCAGTTTTACCAACTTACAATTTATTATTAAAAAAAAAAAATGACATGAAACACAAGTAAAAATAAATACATCATATAAACAACAAATTGTTCCAAGTCTCTGCTCCGGGAGCTCAAGCAAGTACAGCCTGTTGGACAGAGAGCAGAGGGAAGCACGAGATCATGCGTGGGGCACCGACCCACCCACCTTGCTGGGTGCTCCTCCTTCCAACCACAAAAGACCAACCACAAACTAAGGCGGTAGTTAAAAAACAAAAGAAGAACCCCCAAAAAACAGGAAAACCAAAGTGAGACTTATTGATAGATTCACTCAGGCTCCACGCACGCGTGGCTGCGCTGCAGGCTCAGACGCTGAGCCATTGTCCCAGCAAAAGGAGCGCATCCTCTGTTGCTGCCCGGAGCCACCATCCCCACAGCATCACATTGCGTTGCCCTTGTGACCAACACCCCCAGCCCACCTCCCCTGCATGAACACAATTCATCCAAGTGTGGCGAGCAACACCAGCTGCAAAGGTGTTGCTGCCCTTTGCCTCTTTCGACCCCTCACCCAAGAGTGATGTTCTGGTGGTGCTCAGCTGTTCACTGCTGTCACTAAGCCACAATACATCATCATTTCTAGCAAACACCCTTCTGCTTGCTGGAACCCTCTGCTTCGTGTGCGCATCCGCAGCCACCCCCCAGCACCCCGCAGAGCCCACCCTGCCTCTGGGACTCTGCCCCACCACCCCAAGCTCTTCCTTAGGGTCTGTGAGACTCCAGGCAGAGCCCTGCAGGGCTGCCCCCAGCATCACCCCCAGCCCCACTGCTTCCACCGGTCGCTGGGAGACAGAAAGTCAGCAGCAAAAATAAAGAGAGCGCTGAACCGGGTGGGAAAGCGCCGCTCCAGGCTCAGGGCCAGGACAGGAGCCCTGCAGCAGAACCACATGCTGAGGGAAGGGATGTAGGGTGGGGATCCCTGGGAGAGGTGCTGCAGGGCTCATAGAGGTCCCTCCGCTTAAGAACAACCTGCACAACCCCACGGTGCTGGGAGGAGGAGGGAGGAGACGCACAAGTGCTGTCCCTGCAGCTCTGCAGGCAGCGCTGATGGCCACCCCCCCTGGGCCAGGCTCTGATGGGCGTGGGGACACGGACCCTCTTCAAGGGGGGACCCCATTGCGTCCAAAGGGTGCCTGGGAGCAGGGCAGGCACCTGGTGAGCTGCAGGGAGGCCGCCTGCAGAGCCGTTCTAAGTTCCATCACCTGCAGTGGCACGGGGCCAAGCGGGGACACCTTGGGGACACAGCGCAGGGATCATGAGGAAGGCCGGCTGCGGAGGGGCTCCGCTGCCACTCCGCTCCCACTCTCCCCCCTAGGACCACCCTTTGCTACGACCCATCCCCAAATCCACCGGCAACCACAGCCTCCCGGGGACGCGGCGGGCAGCGGGGCACGCTGGTAACCATCAGCGGCACAGGGCTGTGCGCAGGCGGACACCCAGAGCACGGGAGGGCATGACTCACAACGCAGCACTGTCACGGCTTTGGAGGAACTTGCATGAACACCATCAGTTAATTTGCTTTGTTACTTTTGTGGGGGGGTTTGATTTTTATTTCCATGGTGCATCCAAAGACAAGTTGTCCAGCAGTTTGCTCAGAACCCCTCGGTTTTCAACTCCTAGGATATGTTAAAGAAGAAAGCACTATTTTAATGTTTGTCTTAAAAAAAAAAAAAAGAATAATAATTAAAGTAACTTGCATAGCTAAACTGTTGATCTAAGGCTTCTACGAACGGTGTGGTTATGTTTGACAGACAACAGCCATTGAACAGAGAAGGACACTAGGAAAGCCCCGCAACAGTTCTTTTATTGTTTCCATACCGCGTCTCCAGCGCGCGCAGCCCTGCCAGAGGATGGCAGCGCATCCTGCACTGCCCTGCCTGCTCCCAGCGAGCACCGACCAGGCATTCTCCACTCCGAGAGCCCTCAGGGCTCGCCTGAGCCCTGCAGAGCTGCCTCTCCTTCCTCCCCATCCAGTCTCCTCACGCGGAAGGAGCACAGCAGCTCCTGAGAGCACCAGAGGGTTCCTTGTCCCTCCAGCTGCTCTGCAGCCCCCGTGGGATGCGGCGTGATGAAGGGAAGCTATGAAACCACAGCCAACCTGCTCTATGCTTCAGCTGCTCCCCTGCCAGACAGCCTGACAAGCCTCCAAGGCATGATGGAGGCCAGAGCTTCACGGATTTCTTTCTTTTGCGTTCATACGGAAATTAATTTAGAAAGAGAGAGTCCCCCAAGCAATAAATATGACGCCTTCATGTAATAAATTAAGGTAGAGATTCTGTGCAGGGCGGGGGGAAGCGGCTCCATCACAGAGCCACCAGCTGGGCGCAGCCCCCTGTCCTGCCTGGGGCTGAGCCCACTGCAGCAGCCCCACAGTGGGCGCTGTGGGACAGGACCTACCTCTGTTGGCAGCCCCAGAAGGGCCAGGAGCCCTCGTGCTGCTTAGCAGTGAATTTGAAAAGGACGACAGATCGTTTGTGGGGTGATTTTGTGTCTGGTTTCTTTTTTGTTGTTCATTTTTTGTTGTTTTTTTTT